CAAGTTAACATTTAGGCAATCATTATGGATGGCGAAAATGAATTACAAAACTGTGAATAATTACATATATTGTAGTTCATACGACATAAGAAGAAACCATGTGGCAAATTTAATTATTCAATTTTGTAAGTGTAACAGTAATAAAGATCAAACAAAACTATCCAACACTAGTATGTATATTGAGTATACTTTGTGTCTTTGTGATGTTTGCATTATTTGCAATTGTCCTCCGCCTTGCATCCGATCTTTTTTAACGAAAACGCATGCTACTTCGTATGTCTTGTCTGAAAATTATTCTCTATATTACTTTCCGTCAAAAGTATGCATGAGGTGTTTGCCACTGGGCGGTCAAAAAACAACATTCAATCAATCATAACTCCTCTTAAATTGCAGTACAATTATGACTTTAAACATATTTCAAAGAACAGAAGACTCATCAGTGACGGTCGAATAAAACAAGTCAAAAGCCATAAAACATTTTGTAAAAGGCTCAAAATTCCGAAACTTTTGCAAAATAAAGTCAAAGTTATCTTTTCCTGAACAGATAAGATGTAGTTTTTCAAACAATTCAATTTTTTAAATCAGTTAGTTTATTAATTTGACCATATCAATTATAATTCATGATATAAAAACTATCTATACTGGACATTGTGTTACTGCATGGGATGTTTGTGTAACTATTTTTAATGTGCTCATAAAGTTACAGTCCGCAGGAAAACATATCACCCTAACTGGACACTATATATTCTGACTCCGAACCATCTAGTCTTTGCTCTGACCCCTGAAAGCCACGTGATACGGAAAATCAGCAAAGTCTTTGGTTAGACCCAACACATGGTATCCTGTACTCGAGGTGAAGACGCTTCAACGAGACAACTGAGGCGGTGTTTGTCTCATGAGTTTAATGCTGGGTGGGAAAATAACTAACAAAGCGAAACTGTGCACCAAAATATGCATGGTGTTTTAAAAGATGAATATAGAACATTCGAAAATTAACTACAATAGATCAATGTAACTATAAATGATTTATATTTTTAGCTTGAAAAAAAAAAATACTAAACATATCACCACTTTTATTCTTAGCTGTATGTTTATGCGCATTTAATTAGTGGACCAATTAAGAATCAAATACTTCTTTTTGTAATTGGGTGTAAAGCGATGATCGAAGCACATTTTGGATAAAGCACGGAAGTTTCTAAAGAGGCATTCAAAGCGTTATTACATTTCAATGATTTATCTATGTAATTTTGAGTTTTGTCAAATTCTTCGTTGTTTTTTCCTATGCATTGTTGTGACGTTGTTAAGAAAAGTATGTGCTGTCATAAATGTTTCATTTTTTGGAGAAATAACATCTGATTTTGGAATGCCTCTCAAGTGTTGTCATGCAATTCAAAATATGGCTTCTTATAAGACATACATGTAATGTGATTATTGATCATAGAAAGTTGAGATCACCAAATGTCATTTTATTACAACTTTTCAAATTGCACGATTTGATAAAACATTAAATGTGCAGTCAGTTTTAAGAAGACTTTGTATAGTTTCAATTCATTTCTTCAAATTATTAGTCCCCTACCGACGAAGTCGAAGGGGACTTTAGGTTTGTACTCAGTCCGTCTGTCTGTCTGTCCATCCGTCAGTCCAGCAAATCAGTTTTCCACACTTGTTTTTCTTCGTGCTTGAAGATATTGATTTGATATTTGGTGTATTGTTTTATCATGACAAGTCACAGATAAAATTCGAATCTTGTTTCGGTCAGATAATTTTTCGGGAGGTCCACTTCCTATATATAAGGTGATAGGACATGCCGCTGGTATAGGTCACCTTTTTAATCTTGAAAATATGTGAATAGGTCGAGAAAACTATCAGAAATATATGATAAGGTCAATAAACTTCATCTGTCATCTTTTTGGTGTTCCTGGCTCTGTTTTATCAACCAATTTTCTCCCTTTTGCACTTTGGTATTCCATGGCCACTGTTACATTACACACCAAACGAAACCAAAACAATATGGGAAAAGGTAACAATTTGACCTACGCAATATATGAAAAGGTATACATTTTTTTAAATTCAAATGAAAAGGGGGTAACAGAAACCTAGCCTATCAACTAAGTATTGAAGTACCCCCCCCCCCCCTTTTAAGATATTGATTTGATAATTAGTATATAGTTTTGTCATGACAAGTTACAGATCAAGTTCTAATTTTGTTCCGGTCTGATGATTTTGTGCAGAGTTATGGTCCTTGGACTTAAAAAAATCGCTCAAATAATCAGTTTTCTGCACTTTATTTTCGTCATGCTTGAAGAAATTGACTTAATACTTGTTAGATAGTTTACACCATGGCAAGTTATATATCAAGTTAGCATTTTGTTCCAGTACAAAATGACTAAATTCATACTTCAGATAACATTAAGAACTATTATTGAACGGTTGCTAAGCACTTGTTATGTTGCTTAGTTGTTGATAAGCAGTAAGTGAACTACAATTGAGTTTACTTTTCATTTCTAACTAAAAGTTGTTCATCAACAGACAGTCTGCATTACATTTCATTTAGTTTGTTCAATAAAATGACTAATTGATTTGCATTTGTCTTCAATTCAAACATATTTTCCCATTGCTAAGCAACATTTGTGTTGCTATGCTCAATACGGAATTTGTTAAGAATAAAGATGTATATGATAGTATATGGGAATGAAACACCATATGGAAATGTAAAATATTGAAATACTTGCTGTATGCATGCTTCAGAGGGAAAACACACTTTTTTAACCGTTGCTAGGCAAAATTTCTGTTGCTTGGTTGTTTCTAGGCATATATTGAACAAAATGAAAGAGGCTTTTTATTTGTGACTTCAAGTTCTTCTTGGACAAACAATATTATTTTTGAAATATTTGAATTTGTTCAGATAAAGCAATTCCTATGTGATAATTTAGATACTGAACTAAAACAGTTGCTAGGCAACCATCCTTTTACCGGAACAATATAAAATCATTGTTTTTTCAAGTTTCTTTACTAAGACCATCAATGATATTAATATAAACTTATTTAGAGAGGGTGCCAAAAACAACCCTTATCATACCATGTCCTTTATACCAAACAATTCAGAAGTGGCAAATGCTTTATTTTGATACATATATGTATTATTACAGCACATAACAGTAGCAAATATTTGAGATCAAAATTACACAATGTAGTCAAGCTCAAGACCAATAAAAACAACTTGCAAATTTATCAATACTAAGTACACCTTTAGTGAATTTCTTGACAGTTGCCTAGGGTATCTTTCAAAAGATTGATTCAAATACTATATAAATACTCATAAAGAATAAAATAATATCTGCTATGATACTTATTTAACAAAAGTACATCCGACCCCACGGGACAAAATATTAGATATTCATATATTAAAAGTACATCTTACCTCACACTAATTATAGTGAGATTTAATTTAATAAAATATGATGTGCTATGAAATGAAGAGGAAAATTTACTTAAGACAGTGTAATAGCTTCCACTGGCTAAAAACTAGTGTCTAAAATTGTCCAAACTTGATTATTACAAGATTTCCTAAACTGGTAGTTCAATGATTCAGTGAAAGCTTTGATATAAGTTTTAGTAGAGACTTTGTATTAGTTTCCTCTGACTAAAAACGTATGTCTCATCATTTGCCAAAATTGACCTATACAATAAAATGTGAAATTCAGTAAAGTTAATAGATATCAAGTAAAATTCTATTATACAATCCTTTGTTGAACCTGTGTTTTAGCTCCCTTTGACTAAAAACAATTGTCTCCAATTGTAACCAAAAGAAATTGACAAAAGTCTTGACACATACCACACTTTTCTTTTATTTACACATCTCAAGCGTTTTGACTCAAAAGTTTTGTTCCATTGTCAAGAGACTTTTACAAGATTTTTTATTAAAATGTGTAACATTAGAGATTCATTGTTGAACAAATTTATTTATATTTGTATTTATATTATTATTTTAATCGTATTGATTCGATTTTTTACTTCAGGTGAAAATGAAAAACGACCTGCAAAACCAGAAGGTAAGAAACATGTATTTATAAAAACAGCCATGTATTAACGCCATTCTCTTGTGTATGTTGCTATATGATGCATGGATGAATGGAACTGAAGTATTGATTTGAAAAATATAGATACATAACATTAAATAATCCTTTCTATAACAAAGTATAAGAATTGAAAACGAAAAATAATATAAAGGGAATCAAAAATTCTAAAAATGAATCTCAATTAACGCGTATTCGGTTTAACGTACGGTGACCTATAGTTGTTAACTTCTATGTCCTTTGGTCTCTGGTGGAGAGTTGTCTCATTGGAAATCCAACCACAATTTTTTATTTTTATATAAACGGGTGTGTCGGAATAAAAGTAAGTATAACCTAAATGACATATTTTTGTTCGTCTGCTCATTTGTGCGATTCAAAATGAGGAAACATGCTATTGACAAATCTGCATGAATGTAAACTTGAAAACTAATACATGTATATTGTACATGCGTTAAAAACTGAAATGAGCAAAAAGAAATAAATAGAAAATACATTAAAGTTTTGTTCCATAGTCAAGAGACTTTTGTAAGATTTGATTTATTAAAGAGGAACGAAAGATACCAGAGGGGCAGTCAAACTCATAGATCGAAAACAAACTGACAACGTCATGGCCAAAAATAAAAAGACAAACAGACAAATAATAGTACAGATGACAGAACATAGAAAACTAAAGACTAAGCAACACGAACCCCACCAAAAACTGGGGGTGATCTCAGGTGCTCCGAAAGGGTCAGCAGATCCTGCTCCACATGTGGCACCCGTCGAGTTGCTTATGTTATTACAAATCCGGTAAATAGTCTAATTCGGTAAGTCACATTCGTGAAAAGGGAAGTTGTGTAACATTACAGATTCATCGTTGAACAATTTTATTTATATTTGTATACATTATTATCATCATCGCAATGGTTCGATTCTTTATTTCAGGGGGAAATAAAAAGCCTGTCAAACCAGAAGGTAAGATACATGTATTTATCAAAACAAATGTTTTTTGTTTGTTTGGTTTTTAAAAGAAATTACAGAATCAAAAACAGTTCGATATCAAAATGATTTAAAATACATAAAAAGACAGATCTAGCAACAAAAAAGACTTAAATGCATATCGATTAAGAAAAAATACCTTTATTTTGATACGTTCATCAACGAAAAAGAACATTAAGAAACCTATAACGTTAAAAGTTTTTACAATTTACCTTGGAATATGTGATATTTGAAATGTTGCGTCCAGTAATTAAACGATGACTAACATATTCTTAGTTCATGTTTTCATTTCAGTGAAAACTACTATATTGTACATGCGTTAAAAAATTGAAATGAGCAAAAAGAGATAAATAGAAAATACATAAAAGTTTTGTTCCATTGTCGAGATACTTTTGTAAGATTTTTTTAATATTAAAATGTGTAACATTACAGATTCATTGTTGAACAAATTTATTTATATTTGTATAGATTATTTTTATAATCGCAATGATTCGATTCTTTATTTCAGGGGAAAATAAAAAACTTAAAGCAGAAGGTAAGATATGTGTAAAAGGCCAACTAACGTGTAGAGCGTTATGAACAAGAAATCATTTGTTTAGTTTTTAAAAAAAATTACAGAATAAAAAAATGTTCGATATCAATATGTTTTAAAATACATAAGCAGACAGATATAGCAGCAAACAAGACTTTAATGCATATCGACTAAGAAAAAAATACCTTTACCAAATGCCTTGATTTTTTACAAGTAGATTTAATTGATTCAGTTTCAAGAGTAAGGGAATGCTCTTGTAGAAATGCATTTCTGACACGTTCATCACGAAAAAAAAAATTTAGAAAGTTTTTTTTTTTTCAATTTACCTTGGAATATGTTATGTTTGAAACACACATTGCGTCCAGTATTTGGACGTTAAATAACATATTCTTAGTTAATTTTTTCATATCTGTGACTCATGTAAAATCTGAAAAACCACAAGGTATGATATCTTTTTATCAATCAAAGATTTCTAAGTTTTCTTGTAACAATGTGTTTTTTCCATGTTTTATGTAACTCGGTTATTCAAATGAAGCGTAACAACGACAAAAATGTCAACATAATTACATGTTTATTATGAAACTAAATGAAAAAATCGTTATGCAATTGATAAATATAACTTCACAGTACCCAAATTGCACCGAGTACACAAATTGCACACATTTAGTTAAAAAAGCAGCTGGAATCTTCCAAGTTTTCTTAGAGACTGAACAATTTGTATTTTAATTATTTGACATTATGCACGTCTTTCGACAAAGCTAAATATATCTAATTATACACAAAATGTTCACAGTATATATCAACAGATGAAGTTTCCAATGTAAAAAGTAACATCTGCGGAAACGACGTTACCAAAAAATCGGTTTTTAAAAATGAGCAATTAAAATTTTTTTCTGGCATTCATTTCCTAAAAAAATCAATATTATGCATGAACTATTGTTAAATTGTTGGAAATAAAACGAAACATCAGTTATTCGATTTTTACGGTTGCGGATTTAAGCATTAATTGAGTACTCCTCATTACAGAATCATGGATCTTTTGGAGGTGGGTCAACCCAATTTTTCTGTAATTCAATATAGATTCAAAATTAAATTAATATCCTATGGCACGCCGTCTCGTCAAGCAATTGGATATATTAGTGTTTATTGAAAATGAGTAGCCTCTTAATAAGCTTGTCTTTTAATTTCGACCACTTAAGTCCCATAACTCTGGAACAACAACTCTGTAATATTTAAAAGAATAGACATAAAGGGCCATAAGTCGATGAAGGACGGAAAACATCAAGGCCAAAAAGAATGGACGAACAGAGAAAAAAAAAAACCTACAAAACATGCACAGAAAAATAAAGAAAGTGCAAAATAATCTTCAACAAAAATCATGGGTAAAAGCAGAACTATGAAGAGCAGCCCATTTAAGCCAATCAGGTCCAAAGGGCAAATGTGATCTATTGGCTTCACTGGGCTCCGTCGTCTGTTGTCGATAGTTAACCGCTAATTACGCATTTCCTATTTTGTACTTTAAATAAGCCTGAAGCAAATTGGTAAGAAACAACGTCTCATTTCTATTAAATGATTAATGAATTTCCACTATTGTCTTTTAGACAAAAAAGGTTGAAAAATTGCATGTCATTTACCCTTAGGCATACTTTTCACATTTTCCGCTCTACAGTTAGTGAATGAAGATAACTCCAAAATACATAGAAACAATAACCCTTTTACAAATGCAAACTTGAAACCAGTTGTTTCCAGTATTTCAAAGCAAGAATTTGAATAAGTGACTATCGACATGCTTGTACAGACAAGGAAATGCTCACCAAAATATTTAAGCATGACAAGATAAATGTCGCATTTAAACGTATATTTTGGTTTGGTAACCAGGTCTGATCAGTTAGTGACAAAATGTATGTAATTGGATAAAATATTAATGGAGCATTGTGTCATTGTTCAACTTATCCGTGTCATTTGAAATTTCCATAAGTATGAATTACTTATGCATAATTATCTAAATGTTTCTTCAATAATTTTTGTTTATCAAAATTAAAAATTAATCATAACAATTCAACGCAACTCTGAAACACTGAATCAGAAAAATTTGAAAATATTAACTGGTTTATAAATTGTATATAAAAGGAGACGGGATGTTCATGTAGAGAGTCGGCATTTTATTTATCGCTATTTTACTCATAATTTGATTGCTAAAACGAGTACATTCAACAATGATCATAACTTTATCATCAAGAATATACTATGTAAACTTTTTTATAATTTATTTTGAAATGAGTTATTCAAGTAATTTAACACCAACCATGTGTAAATGTTATTTTTTTTATTCTGAAATTGAAAAAAAAGAGTACTGAATTTAAATGTAAGACGTTAAATTTGAGGTGAACTGTATTTAATTTGTTAATAGATATTAATCAGTATTACGAAGGGGATATTTCAAAGGAGACTAAAGTGAGGAGAAATTTCTCAAGATTTTTAAAAGGCAAACGAGTATCCGAGTATTCAAATTGTACTCGAGTGCTCAGTCTTCCGAGTGAGTACTTGTTGCCATCCCTCTCCCCCCAAAAAAGAAGTAATATCTGCAAAACCAAAAGGTAAGATACTAGTTTCTATCATTGATTCATATATTTCACTTCTGCCATTTTGTATTGAAAACGACGATATTGTAAATGCGTTTACAAAAATTAAAGTAATCAAGAAGAAATAGATATAAAATTCATTAAAAGACTGAATTTACAAAAATGAAGAGTATAGTGTACATCGATTAAGGGCTATTCCAGTAAAAATTATCCGGGGGGGGGGGGGAAGGGGGGAGGGAGTGGTGTGTGGAATGGTACTTATTTTTTGTACCCCCCATTTATGGAAAAGATTAAAAAAATATACTCCCACCTAGAATATGTATTTTCTTCCAAGACCCCCTACCTAGAGAAAAAAATTAAAAATTCCTGTATGACAAAGCTGTTATCTAACATATCTAATTTCTGATAAAAATCCGACAATGTGTACCTAGCTTTGTTGCTATTAAAATATAAAATTAAACATGTAACAGTTGTAACAATGGTATGGAGCAGCAGAGGACAGATGCAAGACGGAGGCAATAGCTCTAAGTGACCTAAGAAGGGCGTGCGATTTTAATTATGGCCCATTTTAGTTTTGAAGCTGTCAATAACATTTTCAGGTACGACGTATTCTTCAGGTGGGGAAACTGGTTGGCACCAACCATTCGATGTTTCAGAGTTTGGGCCTGGGAGTTTAGTTCGAGCCATAAAATATTTTTGTGTGGAATGGTACTTATTTTTTGTACCCCCCATTTATGGAAAAGATTAAAAAAATATACTCCCACCTAGAATATGTATTTTCTTCCAAGACCCCCTACCTAGAGAACAAAATTAAAAGTTCGTGTATGACAAAGCTGTTATCTGACATATCTAATTTCTGATAAAAATCCGACAATGTGTACCTAGCTTTGTTGCTATTAAAATATAAAGTTAAACATGTAACAGTTGTAACAATGGTATGGAGCAGCAGAGGACAGATGCAACACGGAGGCAATAGCTCTAAGTGACCTAAAAAGGGGGTGCGATTTTAATTATGGCCCATTTTAGTTTTGAAGCTGTCAATAACATTTTCAGATACGACGTATTCTTCAGGTGGGGAAACTGGTTGGCACCAACCATTCGATGTTTCAGAGTTTGGGCCTGTTAGTTTAGTTCGAGCCATAAAATATTTTTGGTAGGCACAATATATATTTTTTTTTTTTTTTTTTTTTGTATTTCTAATATACATTTTTTTTTCAATAGGCAAATGTTGGGCAAGATGATATACTCTCCTGTGTATCAAAGCCAGGTTTTCCCGCAAAATTAGGGGTTTTTTTTCATTGAAAATTTACAATGCCACCCACGCAACATGCGCAATAAAAATCTAATTGTCTCTGCCAAACATAAATATTTTTCTAGGGATCGCATAGTTTGGATTCACCCACACATATTTTTGTGGGGAGACGGCATACAAGGGAGAGTGGATACTTGAAGTTATTATAAATTGTATTCAACAAAATATTATTTTGACATCAGGGAGAAGTGGGGATCCATATAATGCTTTTCATGCAATACCTGTAAATTTAGAAGTTTTATAATTTCAAGGAGCTTCCTTTCAAAACAAATTTAGAGTTAATTTCAGTTACCTGAAAACCCACAGTGAGTCTTGCAGAATTTCAAAGCCATATGACAAACAAGTCTGTTCAGACTAGTACAATTCATATTAATATAAAATGACAATATAATAACACCCTCCCCCCTCCCCCCTAAAAAAAATGCATAATAAAAATAAATGTATGTAAAGTAAGTATAAGTATTTGCAGTTTCACTCTTTCCTCAGATAGTATGCATTATCTAAATAAATTTAAATGGCACTCCAATCTCAGCTGTTCAGTGAAGTCATTAATTTAGGGATTTCCCATATTTTCCCGCCAAATAGCACATGGCTCCCAACAATGTAAACACACAATTTTTGGATGTGACCCTGACTTGTTTGCAGGATTACTGTTTCTATTAATTTAATTTGGATATAGATATTCAATTTAAGGTACAGCCAAGCATTTGCAATTACAGTTTGCATATGATTTTTTATTTTCTATTTGAAGAAACTTGGTCATACGATGTTCGCCTTGTTCAACCATGTGAATGTAAATAAATGTGAATGGGTAAACCCCGAGGATTTGTATGTTGTTCATTGAAGATGGGAGTACAGGATAATTTTTTCTTAGAGTAGCAGGAGCATTGAGCACTGTGTCAGGATCGGGGAGATAACTCCGACTCCGAGAGATAACTCTTCCTGCTTCCGGCTCGTCGCGTTTGACAGGAACACAAACGGACGCTTAAAATAAGTGGTCTGCATACCGTTTTTGCATTCAGACGACCTTTTCATGAGAATATTCCTTCAAAACAGGGGGTACAATATGTTTAACCTATCATTCAGAAACCCCCTACCAACAGAAATGAATTTAAATTGGGACCACCACCCTCCAGAATACAATAATGTTGAGAACCCCATACCTATGGACAAATATATCGTCGGCGTTCCGCCCCTCCTAGGTGAATTTTAATTGAATAGCCCTAAGATAAGGCCTGTACCAAATCTCTAAATTTGTTACAAGTAAAATTCATTTATTTTGTTACAAGAATTATGGTAACGCTCTTGTAGAAATGAGTTTTTGATACGTCCATCAACGAAATAAGGACATTAAGAAATCACGTTGTCTGTCTCACCTGTCCGATCATATCTTGATTTACTGAGATTAACTTCAAATGCGATCCAACGTTTTGACGTGCCTAAGTTGTAAATAAGTGGTAATGTATATTGTGCTTGTATGCTTCTTGTTTATACTTTTTTTTCCATTTTACTAATACAACTACTATGGTCAACAGTTTCCTTACAAGCAGGTTTTAAATTAATAACATTGGCAGAACGGCTTTATCTAAAGTAGAATAAAAGATACATACTATGACAAACGAGACGATTTTAAATTTGAAATTATCAATTTCCCCCACTGCTGTACTTCTACTTTTGACATTTTTACCTATTATGTCTGTTTGTTTTGTTCACACATTTTTATCAATATAATGGAATTTTTATGCGACTATCATACAAGTGAGAGGTTTAGCTAGCTATAAAACAAGGTTTAATCCACCATTTTCTACATAAAAAAATGCCTGTACCAAGTGAGGAATATGACAGTTGTTTTCCATTCGTTTGATGTGTTTGAGCTTTTGCTTTTGCCATTTTATAAGGGACTTTCCGATTTGAATTTTCGTTGGAGTTCGGTATTTTTGTTAATTTACTACTTAGTTCGCATGTGTTGAGAAATAAAATGAGCACGATATAATTAGATATAATTCCATCCAAGTATTTATTTGTTAGTAAGCGTGTGTAAGATTCAAATCAACGCTTCTCGTCAGTTCAATTTGGGTACTGTGACGTTATATTCATCAATTGCATAACGATTTTTTCATTAGTTGTTAAAAATACATAATTATATGACATTTTTGTCATTGTTACGCTTAATGTGTATATCCAAGTAATAGAAAACATGGAAAAAGCACATTGTTACAAGAAAACCTCGAAATCTGTGATTGGTCAAAAGATATTATACCTTGAGGTCACTGAAATGAAAACATGAATTAAGAATGTGTTACTTATCGTTCAAATACAAGACGCAATATTTCAAATTAACATATTCCAAGAATTTAAAAAAAATGTTTTAACATTATAGGTTAAAGTGTTTTCCTTTTTCTTTGGTAAAGTGTTACACTGAATACAAAAATTGCACCCAAAAGCAAAAATAGCAGCAGCAGTCTTACAAGTTTTTTTAGAAACTTAACAATTTGTATTTTTTATGATTTGACATTATGCACGTTTTTCGACATAGCTAAATACATTTAAATATACACAAAACGTTCACAGTGAATATCAAAAAATGAAGTATCCACTGGAAAAGGTAAAATCTACTGAAAAGTCGCGCTACGACGTCCACAAAATGTCAACCTGAGCAACTCAAATATGTGACAGGCATCCATTTCTTCTTGCTCGAAGGGTAGGCATTTCTTGAACCACATGTGGAACCCATCGTGTTGCTCATGTAAGTACAAACCCATTGATAAGTCTTATTCTGTAGGTCTCATTCTGTAAAAAGAAGATGGGATAATGGTTACGACAATCGAAACATATCATCGTCATATGTGAAACAAATGTTCAATGACGATCAACCAACTCTTCAGTAACGATTTCAACTTATACACTTAGAACTCTTGATTAAATAGCTACCTTGTAAACAACAACTCTCTATCAAGGACATTATGATGGGAAATGCAAACTCTCGAATATTGTATCTACTGGAAGATTTATATCCATATGTTAATTTGTAAATGTTTATCAATTTTCCCACAGGATATAACTACGCCCTTGGAAAAAAAGCAGCACAGAGTTCAACATTGCATTCAAAATATGCTGCTTCAAAAGCAGTTGATGGAAATGAAAACACGTTTACACTAACAAGGCACGGAAACGATGCATATTGGAGTGTTGATTTGGGAAAAACAGTCAACGTGAAACAGATCAATATCATTAACAGAAAAAAATGCTGTGGTAAGGAGTCAGAAAAATATATTTGTGATAAGATTCAAAAGAATTTCACGTGAGTTAGGTAGGAGTGTTTACTTTTAAACTTTTTAAAAGCAACACTATTTTAGATTTTTTTTTATATGATAATAGGTAAATCATCAAACTATCATCTAAATTATTTTTAGTACTTTTTATGATCTTCAGAAAAAATCTTAACATTATATCATTTAATAATGAAGTGTTGATTCATCGAAAATAACACCTTCAAACAAATTAAAACCATTTACAGAAACGTTGACTGTCGAAAGAAGTCAAATGCTATAAAGTGATAAGATGCACACAGATTTTGTCAGTATATTAATAATTAAATACAATACTGTCTTGGAATAACAATTTCCTAACTGAGCCCTTGTTATAACTTTGCTAGGAAAAATAGTCACATTTAATGAGAGTTCGATTTATTTTGTTTTTGAGATGTCATTCTGTCTAATGTCAAGAACTTAGAAACTAAAAAAAGACTGAAATTTGAAAAGCTGTTCAATGGGCTAATATAGGTGTCAGACCACTAATTTAAAACTCCTATCTATTCAACCAAATTTTGCAATTTTTAGCAGCTTTCTAAATATGTTACCTTAAATTTAACTTAATAGAAAGCAGGTATATCCTGAATTGTACATGTATCAACTTTCTACATGCCCATGTTTAACCAATGTTTAAAGTCGTCTTGTTATGAAATACTACTGTTCGGAAGTCAAGTACTACTAAAAATAACTCCTGGTTTTCTGGAAATCTTAGATATAAATAATAAGATGTGTGTATACTATGGAGCGCATTTATCTTCAATTTTTAATACAAACTCATGGACAAGTAAATTTTTGCTCAAAATGGTCTACATATATTTTTCTTTCACTAAAAGTTTCATTTCTGCAAGTTTGTTGATTAGTTTAAGTAAACAATGACATTATAAGCACTATTTTTTGTCAGGGAAGAGCTACCTTTACATATGTTTCAAATTGAAGTGAATGTATTGGTGGTCTGCCACCTATAAGGAATTACAACCTTTCTTCGATATATTGTCATATATTTTAAGTGAATGTCAACGTGAAACAGATCAATATCATTAACAGAAAAAAATGCTGTGGTAAGGAGTCAGAAAAATACATTTGAGGACGATACATGTTGATTTTCAGGTCATTTGATCAACAATGAAGGTCATTCTTGCTAAGAATTGATTTCCATAAGACGATATTACTGTCTTAAATGTAGGAAAGGGGTATTAGAGCTAGCTCACTAACTTTCTTCTAAAAAATTATTTGTACGCGTCCTAAATACGCCTGAAATAGTTTCCACCGGATGTTAAATAACCAACCATAAATCAACCAATGGACAGTCATAATAACGCTTCTCTGAAAGTTCTTGACTTTTCAGTTGTTTCTTAAAAAGAAACATGGATAGAGAACTGCAAAAAAAATCGTATTTTTCATTTGTGAAAATACACGCTTCTGCTAAGGGAGAGGCATATTTGGTTCTTAAATTCCAGGTTATTCATTTCAGCAATTAAAGTATAAATTTGATGAGAGAAAAAATTGTTAAATCTCTCATGAATAGAAATTTTACAAGTTCTGACATTTAACAACAGCAATGATGTCATATATGACGACACAAATGAGCAATCGCACGATAAAACTCATAGTTTTGACTAAATTTTGGAAAATGTTTGCAGATTTTGCCTTTGACGACATTCGCCACATGCATGAACCACCGTAATTATCTGTTAGGATGTGTGTCTTGTCAATTTCCATATTTTTATGACCAATTCATTTTGGTAGACGTGTGTGGCCAGTGTTTTTCAACAGGAAATATACCTTAACTGGGTGTTAAACGGGGAAAAAAATTGTTAAGATGTGATACCACAGTCAAATTTAAAGCTAAGTTTAGCCTTTTCGTTGCCCTTCCGCTTTGAAGAAGTCATAAAAGTTTTAATTCTTTTGGCCAAAAACAGACATTAAGCCCACTATTGCTTTTGTTAAATAGAGCAAATGACTTTATTCTAATAGGATCGTTCTTCTTGATAAAGACTTCTATTTTTTTTTTAAATTGTAAAATTGTCTGCTTTGTTTTCAGCCTTCATAATGAATAATATACCTGTACAATCAAGAATCTTTTCTAGGTTTATTCATTTTTCAAATAAAACATAGGAAAAATCAACTATATTATAACCTGGTAATCGAATACAGCTTTTCAGAATCTGGTATCAATTTTCCTGTTGATGAACAATGGGATGAATATACTTTACGAAAAAAAAAAGAAAATTGGTTTTGAAGTAAAATTTGTTCGATACTGAAATGTGTTTCATTACAAAGAGTGTGCAAGCTATATTGAATGCAATTGGTGATATGATGATTGGCACAGACAGATTGAAGTCTTAGAATTCCATTTTTGAAGAATTGATATAGACACTTGATATTGATATCTTTTCAGGCAATCGGCTGAGGAATATAGCGGTTAGAGTTGGACAAAATCGTCATCAGATGAAACTTTGTAGTAATTTCAAAGGACCTGGTAAGGCTGGACAAGTAATAATGTTAACATGCAAGAGCCCAATCTCAGGCCGCCATGTGAAACTTTTGAGAAGCGGTAAAGGTTATCTCAGTTTGGCAGAAGTTCAAGTGATAGGCCATACAGGTAAACATTTAGATATATTTTTTTAAACTAGCTTCTTTCTGGTTGTATGCTTGTACTGAATTTCGTTTCTATTAAAAAAACTGTCAGTTTAAACAAAAAACAGAAAATCCTATAATTTTGCTGTTATTTTTTTTTATAAAAAAACATACGTCTGTAGATTCTAAGCTAAATATTGATCTTTGCATCGTTGAATAGTTTTATGTATAAACAATATCAATAAGAAGATGTGGTATGATTGTCAAAGAAACAATTTCCGCGACAGACCAAAGGACATACAGATGGGTAAAGTCCTTACCTGTTCGTCTAGTTAACTTGATGACCAGACTTTATGACTGCTGGAAGTTAACTTGGGACAGAAAAAAAACAGACATTTAGCGGTTACAGGATTTATGACTGCTCCGATCGGTTCTTGGGCAGAATTCTTGTTAACTTAAAAAGAAGACTTGATCTGGACTGCTCTGTCGAACCAAGCCTGTTCTTATAAAAGTTAACTTTGGTCTGGTCTGCTCCAAGATAAAGTTAACATGATATAAAGTTAACTAGTAAGCAGGAATGCTTTGATTGATGAATATCATTAAAATATCATCACACTCATGTATCAACAAATTTAGTAAAAGATATATATCCTTAGGACCGATCAAAAATCAGACCTGACCCAAAACTGGTCTATCAAATAGCAGTCTTGTCTACAGGACAGATTAACAGGTCTGATCTGGTCATGTCCTGTCCACAGGTCTGGTCAAACTGACGAGGGTCTGCAGCAGTCCCAAAATTGACGACGTAGGTCTGTTGTGGTAAGGATAAAGTTAACTTGAAGGTCTGCTAAAATTTTCTTAAGTTAACTTTAGTCATAAGGACTGCTCTAAGTTATCTTTTGAAAAGGTTAAGACTGCACCCATCTGTAGAAGATAACAACTACGTGCCTCCGTACGGCCTTCAACAATGAGCAAAAGCAATACCGCATAGTAAGCTATAATAGGCCCCGAAATGACAAAGGTATAACAATTTAAACGAGAAAACTAATGGCCTCATGTATGTACAAAACAATGGAAGAAAAACAAATATGATATATGGCAAACAAACGACAACCAATGAATTACAGGGTCCTGGCTTGGGACAGGGACATACAGAATGTTGCGGGGTTAAACACATGTTCGTTGGCTCCAAACCGTTCCTCTAACCTGGAACAGTGGTGTAACAACACAAAATAACAACAAACTATAAAAATCAGTTTAAAAGGACTTAAAGTCATCAGATCTATACAAAGAACAAAAAACAAAAAAAACAGAAACAGAAAATAAAAAAATGTAAACCTGCAAATACTCAAAGTTACTGAAACTAGTTCCAAGCCAATATCAACTAATGAAAAATTATGTTTCTAATACTAAAATATTAATCAGTTAACATTCAACTTCTAATGTATATAGTATTAAGACGTCATTTACAGTCAAGGAAAATATAGTGTAGCGGGTCAATGGAGAAAAGGGCAGAAACACAAATACACCGAAACCTCTAAATATATAAACCCAAACGAAAACCTAAACTACCTAATTCCCTATCTAGATCTAAAACGAAGGACAACCGACCTCTTTTTTTCGAGAAGTGATTCCTATGTGTCTTAAGATCAAGCCTAAACTCCTATTCGATTATTAATAGTGAACGTGGAGGGTCTTCTTGAGACTGATATCACAAACTTATACCAAACAATTCAGAAGTGGCAAATACTTTATTTTGATACATATATATATTATTACAACACATAACAGTAGCAAATATTTGAGATCAAAATTACACAATGTAGTCAAGCTCAAGACCAATAAAAAGAACTTGCAAATTTATCAATACTAAGTACATCTTTAGTGAATTTCTAGACAGTTGCCTAGGGTATCTTTCAAAAGATTGATTCAAATACTATATAAATACTTATAAAGAGTAAAACAATATCTGCTATGATTTTCTCTCATTTTTTGAAAATACGAGCAGATATGGGACAAAATATTGGATACTCATTTATCAAAAGTACATCCGACCTCACGGGACATAATATTAGATATTCATGTATTAAAAGTACATCTTACCTCACACTAATTATAGTAAGATTTAATTTAATAAAATATGATGTGCTATGAAATGAAGAGGAAAATTTACTTCAGACAGTGTAATAGCTTCCACTGGCTAAAAACTAGTGTCTAAAATTGTCCAAACTTGATTATTACAAGATTTCCTGAACTGGTAGTTCAATGATTCAGTGAAAGCTTTGATATAAGTTTTAGTAGAGACTTTTTATTAGTTTCCTCTGACTAAAAACGTATGTCTCATCATTTGCCAAACTTGACCTA